CTACCGCAAGATACGGGGCATCCGCCGAGACCAAGCTTAAGGGAAGGGCTGAAACTTCCAGAAAAATGGGGGTTGCTCACGCACCCTGAAGTGTTTCCTACCCCGCCTAAGGCTCACCTGTTTCAACACGATGAAAAGTTTCACGCGATTCCAAATATATTGTCACAACCATGCCCCCGTATCTTGCGATAGCGCATTGTTTAGATTAGTTGCTTACATTAATTTTTATGTAGAAGTGACAGATGCGGCTCCGCTATTACTGATATAAATCATCTATCCGAAATTGGAGTCAGGGAAGAACCTGGTAAAAGCGCTTGTAAATTGAAAGTGGAAGCGGTATAGGTGCTTTCTAATTTGGATACTTGTTCGCGCTAAAGATAGCTCGTGTTCAGGGATTACAGGCTTACTTTTAATCCCAGCAAGGTGACGCACAACTCTCAATTTGCTTTTCTTATTTTTAAGCTCCATGACCCTACTATTCCAACTGATAAGCTTTTGGTGTAGTACAAAAGAGAATTACTTTCGCATGAGCTGTCCACCTACCGGAAAGAAAGTTCGGCATACCTCCCCTGATAAGCGGTCCACTTCCGCTTGATTTCAGCACGTGTTAGTTCAAATGTCTTTTCCAAAGGCCACTCTTTGGCATTTATGAGTACCTTCATGGGAAAAACCAGACGGTAAGTTTACACAGCAGTATTCAACTTTTCTTCTTCTAGCACCTAAGCATTCTCAGTTATGATTTATGCGATAACATTTGGCCTCGTCTATTTCATGGGTTGAACGGTGGGAGGTTGACACAGATGTGGTCCAAAATTCAGGCTGTTGAAAAGAGTGTACAACAGCGGTGAAAATAAGCTCTGTCATCTGACAACATTTTGACAGAGGTGTTCTTTTGGATGGTATATTCATAGTATCACGCTTCGCCATTCTTCCGGAGGTCGAACAAACGTACTTTGAGAACTCGTTCGTTCAACCAACTCAATTAGGCGGGGTAGTAGGATTAGTGCCGCGAAAAGTAGACCCTCTCCCTCTTTATTCACCCTTTCCCCTTCAATGAACCGAATAACTGGAAAGTGGAGCAGAGCCAGCCAGGTGCTGTGGTGAAGACAAAAGTTCGTTCCGATTTCTTCAGTTCACCCTGGATGATTTTTAAGAGGTGCAACGGGGCAATGGCGCGTGGGAGTTTCTCGGACGGTGTGCCTGTTACTCCTCGATACAGTGCTTGGTTCGGAATAAGTTAGTCAGCATTATTCAGGGTGAATAACGGTCGAGGAATTCCTCGACCATAGCTCTCTACCATGCGAGAGTAGTGCCGAGAGTGAACGTACGCGCGGAGAGCACAGACGGCTCGCGCATGGCGAGTGTGAATGTCCGCGCGGGAGAGCGTAACTGATCAGGCGAAAATCCTCGACGTGCCGTTGAGGAATCCTCAACCGATATTCACCCTACCATTACTGGGATCTCTGCCGTATCTGTATGGTCCATGTTCAACTTCTCGAAATGTCCATGTTTTTGGCCAAACCCTGTTCTACTACCGAATTTTCACAAGCTCACACAGTCAGTACTGAGTACGTTACATTTCTGCCGCTGGCTCGGCCGCGACGACCACGAAGTCCAACACAACGTTTTTCTCGGCATTGTCGAAAACCTGCCAAACATGTGTGATTCATCCTGTAGTGGTAGGCTGGCTGAACTGTTGTGAGGGATCAAGAAAATTTAAACAGTTATTCAAGCCGCCCCGGACTGAGAGGGGTTGTTTCGAACAGTTCAGTTGTTTTGAGTGACCGCTCCTACATAGTCAGACATTTGAACGCATTTTGGACTCCGAAAAGCGAATGCAGCGGACATTCATATTTCAACAGGCTAATAATTGGAAGAGCTCCACAATTTTTCCAAAAAGGCTAATAGAGAAATGTTTGCAGCAATTCCGCTGAAGCTGCAAGCGAGGTGTTCTGGCTCTGTGAGGCATGAACATTTCCTTCCTGGATCTTCCCAGTGATCCAAAACAGTCGTTGGTCGCTTTTGAGATGTGCGTCTGAAAGCCGCCGAGAGCACCAGCTAATCACCTATTCAAATGCTGTAATGCTTTCTCGAACGCTACTTCCTCTACCTGCCTTGCTATAAATGAGAGATAAGCCGTCGGGACCGTGACGCAATTAAAGACGTCAACCTTCGCTTCACAGAGAAAGGATAAAAAAGGATAAAGCATTTGCCGTTGATCAATCCCTTTTTGGGATGCGGCACGCATTCTACTTCCATTTGTACATTCGTAGTGGCGTTTGAATGCGATGTGGCCTATACAATGACTTGCGGGGCCAGCCGATGTACAAGTCAGTGTTTTTATCCTCCCAGACAAGTCTGGTACCAATTAACCGACCCCGGAGGGATGGAAGGCTTGGTTGGCCCGGGCGACTCACGACCCAGGATTTGATCCCGGACCGTGGTAAGCGTGCCACTTGCCACTACACCACTTCCGCCCTCACAGAGAAAGAGGATGAAGAAATTATGAAAAAATTCTCCAATTACTTCGCCGCTTCAGCATACATAGTGTGGACATGCCAGCACTAAAAGAACATTTTCAGAAAGCCGTACTCCTGGGAAATACTGTGCATCACGATTTCTCTGATTGTGATAGTAAAAAAAGCTGATTCGATATGACTGCATATCGCTCAGATCAGACCAGGTAGTGGAAATGAAATTTCGCGATCAAAGTAGCGCCACTCCGTGCTATGCTGTGCGCATCTTATCCACAGCAACTATGAGAGCAGCCGTAGCTTTCATTCACTGAGGGTAAAGAACAATAAGAAGAACGAACATCATTCAGGTGTACGTTTGATAAGGACGCGGGTGCAGAGTTCAACATCCACCTTCATGTACTAGGTTCGAGTCAAGGCGTGGACACGGATTAGTGACAAAAGGCCAGCCAGCTTTCATAAGGCAATGGTCTGGGACAAGTCAAATCACGAGATCGAATGAATGCTCAGAACCAACAAGAATCACAACGAAAGGCGGCAATGGGTACCGAGGATGCCTATGCCGAACAAAGGGTGTTTTTCTGCGCTAAACGTCCACTCTTATTCTTTATTGGACTAATTTAACTGAGATCGAGAAAAGAATATGACTTATGACTGGTCCCTGCGTCCATCGGGCTTGTACATTACTCACAAGTAATGTACCCATGCCCTTGAACCCCAAACCACCCACCCCCCCCAAAACTTGATACTTTCTGACATCACTGTATTTCAATAGCCCGAAAGTTCGATTACTGCCAGGTCATTAGGGAAAATACTCAGAAGTAAATAAATTATTTACTGAATATCTGAGAGGCAACAAGTAGGACTCGAAGTGTGAAAGAATACAGCGATCCATAAGCCTGGATCTGTGACTCCATACTGTTCAAAGTTCACAGAAGCATGCCAGAAAGGCATTCGCCTCTCAAATCACCTTTTTCTTCTTTACAGAAAAAAAATCGAACCTAATCAACTGTTGTACAGGGATTATTGGCTTCATTAGTTTTCAATTTTTCCCTTTCTCCAATTAGACGACTCTTAACGGTTCCAAAGCCATGGTTGTCCCATTTGATTGCCCATCAATGTGAGAAAGAAGAGCTACAATTTCTTGTACGAGTTCTTAGTTATAAATAGGATATGTGAATGATGGGTTTTCCTTCCTTTTTCTTCGTCCTTCCACTAGGCAAAATTTTGTATGGTCTGTATTAGCGGACCTTTTTGAATCAATATTAGCCTTCTATCTCCTCGTACAGGTTAAAGCAGTGCCAAACTCATTTGGAGGGCTAAAGAATGGACCTGAATGACGGCCACAGTGCGTTCTCGTGCACGATAGCACAAGTCTCGTGATTGCCGTCAGGTGGTTGCAATAATTAATGGCTTGAGAGAGAACAAAATTTCTTAATGACACGTTTTGAATTATTGCTGTACCACGCAGTAAGCCCATATTTATTTGCTTTTATCTTATGATGTGAAAAAGGATGCTCAGGTATCCAGATGTTTTCCGCTTAAAAGCGAGATTTACAACGGCTTACAAATGTAGCCCATTAGAAAACACTGTAGGGCGTTTAGTGGCAGGAAAGAAGAAAACCCATAAAAAGCGGCTTAGACTCTTCTGGAATGCGAGCTCTTCTCAAGAGCTTAAATTCCTAAATCCCCATACGTTTCTTTCTTGGAATTCATTGCCCTCTCTAGGACCTCTGATTCCCATCGCTGCTGTCCTTATCAACGCTAACGCTGTGTGTACCAAAAAGCTAGAGTGAGACGGCGGAGGGGTGGGCGTGGTGAGGCGCGAGCGGCGCGGGTATGCCCCTGCTAGACCGCTGGGGCACCCTCTAATGCAAAACGTGTGTATCGTCCCTTGGAAGTGTTTCGACTAAGTATAATCCTTTCTTGGATATCCGACCTTACTGTGGAATATTTTTGGGCTATAGCATGCCTAAGCAGCTTCGAATCGATGTTCGGTTCTAATAATCGCCAGAACGTTGCTAACGACACCATTCGACACAGCTGTTGAAGATGGAGCACCAGGCACTTCAGAACTTCACTGAGTGGTGGAATGAATGTGACTCTTCAAATTCTTAGTAGTTGTCTCATTTGACCTGCGAATTCACTGACAGTCATTACATTAGAAGAAGGCGCTATCACAAGATACAGGGGCATCCTCTAGAACCAAGTCCAGGAGGGGGCGGAACTTGAAAAAATTAAATTTGGTTTTCCACCATGAATTCCCTCTTCCTCACCTAAGGCTCAGGACCATTTTTAGCAGGAAGGAGATGTCTTACGAGGTTTCGAATGCGTTGCCACCAATGCACCCGTATCGTGCGATAGCACCTAGAAAAGTTGATGTTGCCGATAGCGCTCGAAGTATCTTCTCATACATCAACGATGTTTTGAAAACAATTGTCAGCTGGCAAAGGTTTCACGTTTCGGGCAGGAGCAGCTCCCTCCAGGTTTTCTCTGAGGCATTTTTTCATCCCTCTGTGTTTCAATATGGGAAACGCACATAAACCAGGAAGGAAAGCCGGTATGCAAAGGCAGGTACATTCGAGTCATGCGATTTCCCTAGTAAGGTGGAGGGCGCATTAGATCCACACCACTTACACACAGCAGTGCAGCTCCCGTGAACAGCAATGAAATAAGGGGCCGCAGGTTGTTCAGCGAAGGATTAATTTGGTGTCAAACTGAAACTTCATGTAATATTACAACGGAGTGGAGTGAGGCAAAAAGTCTCCTCTGAACTTCTCCTGAGAGTGATCGACAAACTGGTAACGAATATGGTATTCATATTGATAGTGCCATAAGCTAAGACCGCATATGTTATTACGGTCTGGTATTACAACTTCTCTCTGAAAAATTCGCTCTATGCTTGCACATAAAGTTATCCATGGTAGTCCTACGCACAGTTCTGGCGCCAGCACGGGGCCATTAATACATGGTTCTCCCTGAGAGTAAAAATTTTGCGACGCCAAGTGGCTCCGAATGCCGCTGAGGTTATGTTGTGAACAAAGCGTCAAAATAATCCTGTCGTGGTATGAACGGATTTTGGTTAGGAAAGTTGCTGACATGAAAAGGACCTACTCGCGAGTGGAATCCTTAGAAATTTCCGCTGGGTAACTTTCTGCGGTAATATTTCTTCTCTTTTGTCTGGCATTGGGTCTGTACTGTGAATTACAACTCAATCTTCGCCTCCAAAGCAACTGAAAAAAAAAACAGCGATTCTATCTCATGTCATAAATCAGGCTTGCTGCGAGCTATCACTCAACGAATAAGAACAACAGAAGCACAAAAAGTGCGTTTGTTTCCGTAAAACAACTTCGTGAATTTCACTGCTTACTGGTTCAAGAATCCCGCCGTACATCTTACAAGCTGATGAGATTTGAACGCGTTCAACGCTGATTGTCTCCGCTAGGAACTCCTTTTTTGGACGCTTTCTTAACCCATCTATAACCATTTCTCTCGTATCTACTGCATCTTGTTCAACAATGCGTTTTGTCTCTATTCTAAGGATTTAAAACGATTGAAACCCACATTCTTTCAAAGCTTGGTCGCCTTACGCGTGTCCCCCCCCCCACCCAAGTGCGCAATTCTTTCCATGCGTTCCCTTGTACCCATCACCTACCCTTAACCGTCTTCCATACAATGTGGTTCTCGTAATTTTATTCATCTTCGGAAACTGAACCTTCTCGACTGAACCTCTGTACCTTGTCTTTACTGATCACAACTGACATACTCATGTTCGTAAAAATGCAAGAATTTTCCGGAGGCAATTCCTTCAGTCATTCTTTTGTCATGCATGAGCCTGATGATAATAAACGAACTTTCTTGGCTTTTGCCCAAGCAACTACTTCATATTCATAATTGAGGCTCTGATTGGGTTCATCCACCCCATGGCTTAATCTCCCTACTCATGTTAACACATATTTGAGCAAATCAAAAATACCGTATGTTACCATCGCATTCCCAAAGGTGGAATAATCGATTCATTTCAGACAACTATTTGTGAAGTCAGCGTTCACTCTCGTCTACGGTCTGCTGTTCATACTCGGCCTAGTCGGAAATGGCGGTGTGGTGTTCGCGATGGCGAACAATCGCCGATTACGATCGGCCAGGAATATCTTCCTGCTCAATCTGATCCTCACCGATCTGTTGCTAGTGCTAACTGCCGTTCCAGTTACTCCTTGGTAAGTTTGAACTTTCTCAAAGACTTTGTCTGGGCTATTAGTCAGCACCAATTGCTCCAAGGAAGCGATATACATATTCTTTGCAGGTACGCACTCACAAAAAACTGGCAGTTCGGTTCCGCAATGTGCCATATTATGCCTCTGTCGAATTCCTGCTCAGTATTTGTGACCAGGTAACTTTCCGTTTGTTACACTTCCAACTCACCTTCTGCGGAAGATGCTTGAAAATCTCCTTGTTTCAGCTGGAGTCTCACTGCCATCTCTATCGATAAATACCTTCACATTATCGATCCGAACAAAAGCGCCGGTTTCGGTAACGGTTTTCTCATTGCACACGGTAGGCCGCACCAGCAAAGCCCAATCAATAATCGATCTTTCAGAAGCGGCAAGCACTGGCCATCACTTTATTAATTTGGCTCCTAAGCACCTTAATTAATGTACCGTATCTGCTCAGTTATGAACTGGTCGACGGATCTTATTACGTGCCTAAAGACAGGTAAAACGTATTCGGATCACCCGTGTATGTGGTTCTCATTTACTGAAGGTATAATTATTACAGTACTCCTTATTGTGGTAAATTTTGTGACGAAACAAATTGGCAAAGTGAAAATTCACGCCGACTCTACGGCACAATGGTGATGCTGCTTCAGGTACTGTGTCATGACATTCAGCTGCATCGACATTATCGATTAAAAATTGATTTCAGTTTGTCATTCCAATGTCCATCATCACTTACTGCTATTTTCGGATATTACGGAAAGTCTCACAGGATATGATCATACAAAATGTTCAGTTCTCAGCTTCACTCTCACAAAAACAACGAGTGGATGCGATCAGTCGAAAAAAGAAGGTAAGTAATGTTTTTTGGTGATCAGTGATTGTCGAGAGTGGAGGTGGTAGCGGCAAAGGGGGCCGCTCAGGCAGGTGTCAGACTTTGCGAATCCAGCGAATCGCGAGGCAGGAGCGATGTGTCAGCGGTTCGAACATTGAACCTCAACAGTGTGAAAAAGTTAGCGAAAGTCAACGTGCGCATGAGATTGGCTCTAGCCACTTTCCTACACAGTACAGTCGCTGTTACGCTGCCCAAACCGCAGGTAAATCGTTCAAATCGCAGGCGAGCCGCTCATGCCCCGCGATTCGCCACCGATTCGCGAAGTATGGCACCGACCCAACCACGCGGTCCGTTGATTAATTCCCGGCAAGTACAGAGTCTGAGCCAGCTAATTTTTCCATTCCTTACGGGGTCAGTCAATCGGCGCTAGACTAGTATAAGATCAAATCTATTTGTCCCTAATTTCCAGAAAATTTAATTGGTCAAGTTTGTTTAGAGAGCTATTGTACCTTGAAGTCAATCCCACAGATCAGTGAGCTCTCATTACTGCGCAAAAGTGCACGCTTTTTGTCACCCCGCTTTTTTGTGTGACCATGGTTTTTCGACGAATGTTTTTATAGTGGAAAAACAGACCGTTATAAGAGAAACAACTGTAAACAGTAAACATCAAATAACAAACAAGTTAATGCACACACAGCGCTCACATTTGGGTGGATTTACTTTCGGGCTTGCTTTCTTGTGGAATTTTAGAGTGATGAAAGGAACACGAAGGACCACCCTTACAAGTCGCTCTACCCTGCAGCAGTGTTACCCCGTTCGGACAATTGTAACGAGGGGGACGCAATTGTGTTATCGGGAGGGGGAGTAGCATTTTGGGGTTGAGCGAGGTGACTGATCCTTGGAGAAGTGCGATCGGGGGTGGTTGAAGGGACGAGTTTGGCGGAAGTGTTACTAAAGGAGCGTGATTAGACAAAATTGGAAGATTTGCCTGGTCTTGGGATCAAATACTATAGCAACAACCATGATAGCGAGGGTGGTTGTCGGGGTAAGGAGGAGGGGGTCGTATTTTGAGAGCCTCCTAACAATAAGTCTCATAGTTGTGTTGGGGTCACATCGATACCCCTCTAAAAGGGGGTGGAGTCACATCATTTTTGAAAAGTGCGAACACTACGGTCGCCCGTGCCCTGCAGGAAGCCTTATGAACTGTATAGTAAGGGTGAAAATACTATATGAGTCGACAAAATGTGAAAAATAAAGAGACATGGCCGCGGGCGGGTCTCTAACGGTTTTGCTTTTACTTCTCATTTTCCACATTTCAGGTTAACTATATTCTAATTGGCATGGTGGCAACGTTCATTTGCTGTTGGTTACCGTTGACGGCAGTCAATCTAGTCAAAGATTACAGTATGTTCATATTCAGAGTTAATTATTCATTTTTTTGATGCTGGTTCTTCCAACATGAAAGATTTCCAAAGTAGGCTTGTAACAGTTTAATTATGCCTTGTAAATTTGTGAAGCACACCATCAGGGATACGCTCTGCATTGTATTCGAGATCGTGCTCGAAGGTTGGTGGTCGAGAAGAGATATAAAGAATAAACTCACCCGGTCTCCCGGTTTCCACGCGATATAGTTCATATTATTGCTTAGTGGTAGCAGTAGTGGATTATTGCCTCACTTATCGACAGAAAACTACACGCTCGATTAGCACTCGATTTGCATTCGGGCAAAAACCTTTTCCATTATTCCGCTTTGGTTCGGGATCTCCATTTCTTTTTTAGGTCGCCTTACGAAAATAGCATTCTGAATGATGCTACACTATTCATTTAACATACGTCATACGCAGTGGATCAAGGCTTCCTGATGCACAGGGCTCGTTTAGGCTAAAAGAGATCCACATTCCCCGACACTTCATACACATTAGCAGGGTTTATGGACTAGCGTTTGCATCGATATTATCGGACATAGTCTAGTAATTTTTCTCTCTTCAATTCTCTAGGCAGCAGCGCTGTGCGTTCCTTAGCAGAGGAGTGGAAGAAGTTAATAGTGAAGGTTTTGGAGAACGTGGTAATGGGTAAAAAAAACTTTCTAAATATCTCGCTCTGTCCTGTTGCGAGTTGTTCTTCACAGCAAGTACCTCTCATGTATTAAAATGTGGACAATGCTATCAAAAATCGCCGATTATCTCTGACACACACCGACAGAGTTGCACGATAAGAACGAAGGTCAAAGAAGGGGAAAATTGCATAGTTGGGAGACAGGCGGACCTCCTGAGGGTGCTGACCGACGCGCAATTGGCAGCGAAAGATTTGACCTCGGCGATCTAGCATGGCTCACTCTTGGCGCGGTTGGCGGGGTACGCCCACCGACTATAGGTCTATACGAGTGAGTGATTAGATAGCAGAGAGAGCGTAGTGTTGAAGAGGGCACAGCGATGAGAGTCGCATCAATGCGCAAATCAACGGGCAAGGAAGGGGTCCCATTTCTCGGGTTTCGGGCCGTTTCAAATGGTTTCTTCTTCATCCCTGCTCCACTGACCACCTCCCCTTATTTCCAATGAGCTAACCTTTCATCGTAAATTCTGCCTTCAAGTCAAGCGTTAGCGATAAATCCGTCTGGGAAATCTGGGAAAATGTCTAGTGATTTAGGGTCAGAGCTCTTCACAATGAGACGGTGAGGAGCGATCTCGCTTCCGGTCCCATATGCCATTTTCTCCATATCGTAGTGCGAGATTATGAGATCATAAAAAGCATAACAACCACCCACTAGGCCTTTCCAGAGGTTCTGTTGGCCTTAAAACTCGACAAATTACGGGAACTTTGCTCATTTTTTGAATTCTAAATTGTTCGATGAATGCTTGCTGCAGCCGTAATTGACATGGAAAAATGGTTGCGCTTGAATGACGTTCGCTTGGGAGAGCAGTTCCACAGAGGAAAGCTGAGGGAGGTGGGGGTTGCACATGGGTACAAAGGAAAGCAGCGTAAGCCCTAAGACCACTTAGTTCTGCATTACGGCAAAGTAAAGGTTGTTTCGATTTTGTATTTCTTACCGCAGTCTTGAGAACTCTTTTGGAGTTTCGTGTGTGCTTGCAGAAAGCAAGCGATCTGCACCATGAGCGTGGTAATTCAATTTACAGTACAATTTGAACATAAAGGCCGGAATATGTCGTCGGATGAGCTAAACACATTCGGCACTGAAAAGTCGTCACTGAAACTTATTCAGTAAATTCTTCATGCTAACGTGAATCAAGGACGAGAACCTTCTTCAAGAGGATTCTCCGGAACGCAGAAGGCGGTCTTCTCTTTCGGAGAAAGCGCTGAATAACCTTCCGCTCCGCTCACTGCGTCTTTGATTCCAATTTTATCACCTCTGCAACGCAGGACCGTTACTATGTGTATGGCGTGTACAAAGCTCTCACTATACTCATGAATTTCTCATTGAATCGAAATAGAGAAGGAAAAATAAAAACGCGGATGCTCCATAAAAGTACTGGACGAACAAACCTTTGCCCCACGCAGGATTCCATCCCGCATCTCTCGCTTACCCGGGCAAGTGCGCTTCAACTTACCCTACCGGAGCACCATTTCGGAGAG